CGTCTTCATACACGTTAGTATCGATTATCTCATCCCCAAAACCATTATCTTTGTCCTAAACCATGGCGTCCCTGCTCAGCGGTGAACCCGGCGGTCACCGGTCCCTTGCAAACGCGTGGGAAACACGTTCAGGTCTCTCTTCCGGTCTCCCCTTCCCCAGACTCAAAAGGGAAACCGAGGCCGTTTCTCTAGGCCAAAGGTTACAAACACTTACACCGACTGGCTGGAGCTAATGGGACAGGCCTGGAGGTTCCTTGTTTTACAGCAGGTATTATGAGCAACAGAGACGAATTTGGTATCAACAAAACCCAAAGAAAATAACACTAGAATCAGTCAAACCAATGAAGAAAACACATTATGCAAACTAGCCTCAATGGCTGCCCCCCCGACGCCCCTCACTCCCAACCCGCAGCCCCCGGCGCCCCTCACTCCCGACCTGCAGCCCCCTGCCCCTCTGGTGCCCCTCACTCCCGACCTGCAGGCCCCTGCCCCTCTGGTGCCCCTCACTCCCGACCCGCAGCCCCCTGTCCCCCCGGCGCCCCTCACTCCCGACCCGCAGCCCCCTGCCCCCCCGGCGCCCCTCACTCCCGACCCGCAGCCCCCTGCCCCTCTGGTGCCCCTCACTCCCGACCTGCAGCCCCCTGCCCCTCTGGTGCCCCTCATTCCCACCCCAGTGCCCCAGGCCTCCCAGCGCCCCTCACTCCCGACCCGCAGCCCCCTGTCCCCCCGGCGCCCCTCACTCCCGACCCGCAGCCCCCTGTCCCCCCGGCGCCCCTCACTCCCGACCCGCAGCCCCCTGCCCCTCTGGTGCCCCTCACTCCCGACCCGCAGCCCCCTGCCCCCCCGGCGCCCCTCACTCCCGACCCGCAGCCCCCTGCCCCTCTGGTGCCCCTCATTCCCACCCCAGTGCCCCAGGCCTCCCAGCGCCCCTCACTCCCGACCCGCAGCCCCCTGCCCCCCCGGCGCCCCTCACTCCCGACCCGCAGCCCCCTGCCCCCCCAGCGCCCCTCACTCCCGACCCGCAGGCCCCCCAGTGCGGCCGGTGCCCCTGAAGTGCCAAGGCACAGTGCAGAGCAATGGGGGGCTATGGGGCGCAGCGCCGGCAGGAGAGGGGCAGCCCGACGCAGGGCGAGTGAACGGTGCCATGTGCCCAGGCCTGCATCGCCCCCCGACGGGCTCGCTGCCGGGGACCCCCCGGTTCCCCTGGGTCCTGCCCCCCCCCCCGACAGCACCCGCCGGCAGCGGCCCCGATCCCGATCCCCGGCTCCACGCCAGGGACCCCCCGTCCCGTCTCCAGCGCAGAGCGGGGGCGGGGGGGGGTCCAGGCCCAGTCCTCACTGAGCCCCCCCCTCCTGCCCCCAGACCCCGGGGCCATCGTGGAGGCCCAGACCTCGGTGCCCTACGCCATCGTGGGCGGCATCCTGGCCCTGCTGGTCTTCGCCGTCATCTGCGTCCTGATCGGCGTGCTGTGGGGCTCCGTCCGGCAGAAAGGTGCGGGGCGCGGCGGGGGGGCGGGGCAGGGAGGGGCCGGGCCAGAGGGGGCGGGGTGAGGAGGGGAGGGGAGGGGACAGAGCCGGAGGGGGCGGGGCCGTGGGGGAGGGGAGGGGACAGGGCCAGAGGGGGCGGGGCCATGGAGGAGGGGAGGGGACAGAGCCGGAGGGGGCGGGGCAGTGAGGGGAGGGGAGAGGGGACAGGGCCGGAGGGGGCAGGGCAGGGAGGGGAGGGGACAGGGCCAGAGGGGGCGGGACCGTGGGGGGAGGGGAGGGGACAGAGCCGGAGGGGGCGGGGCCGTGGGGGAGGGGAGGGGACAGAGCCGGAGGGGGCGGGGCCGTGGGGGAGGGGAGGGGACAGGGCCAGAGGGGGCGGGGCAGTGAGGGGAGGGGAGGGGACAGGGCCAGAGGGGGTGGGGCCGTGGGGGGAGGGGAGGGGACAGAGCCGGAGGGGGCAGGGCAGGGAGGGGGAGGGGACAGGGCCAGAGGGGGCGGGACCGTGGGGGGAGGGGAGGGGACGGGACAGGGCCAGAGGGGGCAGGGCTGTGGGGGAGGGGAGGGGACAGAGCCGGAGGGGGCAGGGCGGGGAGGGGAGGGGACAGGGCCAGAGGGGGCGGGGCTGTGGGGGAGGGGAGGGGACAGAGCCGGAGGGGGCAGGGCGGGGAGGGGAGGGGACAGGGCCAGAGGGGGCGGGGCCCTGGGAGAGGAGAGGGGAGGGGACAGAGCCGGAGGGGGCAGGGCGGGGAGGGGAGGGGACAGGGCCAGAGGGGGCGGGGCCCTGGGAGAGGAGAGGGGAGGGGGCGGGGAGGGGAGGGGACAGGGCCAGAGGGGGCGGGGCAGTGAGGGGAGGGGAGGGGACAGGACAGGGCCGGAGGGGGCGGGGCCAGACCGCCCCCCCTCACCTCTCCCCCCGGCAGGCTCCTACCTGACGCACGAGGCCAGCGGGCTGGACGAGCACGGCGAGGTGCGCGAGGCCTTTCTCAACGGCGGGGGCAGCCACAAGCGCAAGGAGGAGTTCTTCATCTGAGCCGGGGCGCCGGGCCGGGCCGAGCCGGGCGCCTCTGGACCAGCCCATCGAGCCGCGGCCGAACCCCGGGGCTGGGGGGCTGGTTTAATTTCTGAAACCAAGGCCCGTGTGCCAGCAGCCTGGGGTTCCAGCCCTGCCCCTGGGCCGTGAGGCCCCGCCTCTGACAAGAAGCCCCACCCCTATGCAGTAAGACCACGCCCCTGGGCTCTGAGGCCCCGCCTCTGACAAGAAGCCCCGCCCCTATGCAGTAAGACCACGCCCTTGGGCTGAGGCCCCACCCACCCTGTGTGAAGGTCCCCACTCCAGGGACCCAAGGTGGTGTCCTTTGCCCAGGCAGATGGGGGGTCGGGTGAGGTGGGGGGCTGAAGCAGGGGGTTCTGGCCTCACCCACAATACAGTAGGGGTGGCCACGCTCCTTTGGTGGGGGGCAGGTCTCCAGGGAAACAGGGAGGGGGTGGAGACCATGGGGTGCTTTTGTAAACAGCTTAACTGTGCCGCGACTGGATGGGGGATGGAGTCCCTCCCCCCGCGGGGCCCGGACTCCTGGGTTCTATCCCCGCTCCAGGAGGGCGTTGGGGGGTTTACGGGGGTGGAGGGGTGGGGGGCTGGGAGCCCGGACTCCTGGGTTCTATCCCTGGCTCCAGGAGGGCACTGGGGGGGGTTACTGGGGTGGAGGGAGGGGCTGGGAGCCCGGACTCCTGGGTTCCATCCAGGGCTCCCGTATTCCTGCTGTGGGCCTTAAAAGCAGGTTGGACTGTTTCTTTAAAGCCATGATTGTTGGGGGGGGGGGTGTGTGTCTCTCTGTCCATCAGTGTCTGTCCGTCCTCGTCATGTGACGTCCTCACCAAGCACAACAGCCTGAGACGGGGCTGGTGGGGGGGCGGAGGAGCTGGGGGGCCGGGGCTTCTTACCCCACCCCCAGGAACTCACCTGCCATGGGGCACCCCCGGGCCCAGAGGGGGCGAATGGGGCAAATCCAGATTTCACCCTCCTCCCCGCCAGTGCACCAGCCCCTTGGCTGCCCCCAGCGCTGGGGGTGCTGCCGGGGTGGGGGTGGGGCATGCTCGCCCCTCACAGGCGGGGCTGCAGCACCTTCCCCCCCCCGGGCATCGGAGAAACCGGACCCTGAATCCCCTGGGTTACATTGGGAAAGAGCTTCCCCGTCACGGCCTGCCGGCGAGCGGGGACCCCCTTCCCAGCGCCGGGCGAGGGGTCCCCCTATAACCCGCCCCCACCCCTACCCCAGAGGGGCCGTGTCCTATGCCGGGTGAGGGGCCCCCCCATAACCCACCCGCACCCCAGAGGGGCCATGTCCCAGTGCCGGGCGAGGGGTCCCTGTATTACCAGCCCCCACCCCACCCCAGCGGGGCCGCGTCTCTAGTGTGGGCGTCTCCTCCCCGATCCTCTCTGACCCCCCCACGTCCCTGATTTCCCCCCAGATCCTCATGCCCCCCAGCCCCCCCCTTTGTCCGGAAGAACCCCCCGTTGGGTCCCAGCCCCGTCTCTGGCTGGAGGTTATTTTCTAGCGTGTGTGTCGCGGGAGGGGAGAAGGGAAACGAATGGGAGAGATAATAATTAATATATAACCGGGGTGGGGAGAGGGGGCTCTGTGGGGGGGCCAGGCCCCCCACCCCGAGACTGTTCCCCCGCCCCCGCCGCAGCCTGAACGTTAATATATATGTAAATATCTGTCGCCTTTTAACCGCCTTTGATACTTCAATAAACTCCCCGATTAATTCTTTTAACCCGAGTGGGGGCAGAGACCTGGTTTGTGGGGTCTGTCCTGGGGGACCCCCTGTTCCGCCTTTAGAAAGTGTCAGACGGGGGCCTAAAAATCACAGCTTGGGGTTGAGAAATGAGGGACGCGGGTTGAGTGAGATCCCGGGTTTCTTCGAGGCGAAATCCCGAGGGGGCTGAAGAAAAGTCGCGGGCTCCCCCCAAATCACGCCCCCCCCCCAGACTTGCGGGGGGCAATGGGCAGAACCAGGCTGCACCAGCCAAACGTGACCCTTCCTCGGGCCAGGGCAGCTGCCAGCGCTGGGGCCCGGCCTCCTACCCCACTGCCCCGCTCAGCCCCCCACGGCTCCCGCAGGCCCCCGGGGAGCAGCGCCAGGAGCCGGCTGGGTGGCGGGACTTGGGGCAGTGGCTGAGAACAGGAATGGTGGGACCCCCACCCCAGCAACCCTCCCATGGCGGGGACACAGGGCAGGGCCCCAGATAGCAAGGGGGCGGGGGAGCTGGGAACCAGGACTCCTGGGTTCTTTCCCCAGTTCTGGGAGGGGAGTGGGGTCGAGTGGTCAGAGTGGGGGGGCGGGGCTGGGAGCCAGGACGCCTGGGTTCTCTCCCCAGTTCTGGGAGTGGAGTGGGGTTTATGGGCAACGACAGACTCCAGGGCTGCCCCACAGCCCTGCTGGTGCCCCTCAATCCTGACCCCCCAGCCCCATGGCGGGGGCGGGGGGTTATTCAAGCCCAGCGCTCGCGTCCAGAGTTTTAAAGTGTCATTTTAATCACGTTCAAGCTGGGGGCGCTGGCCCATGCCCCCCCCCCGCACCCTCCATTTAAAGGGCCGGGCGCCTCCCACAGAACTACAATCTCCAGATTTTAAGCAATAAGAAATCAACCCCCCCGCAAAAACAACACGACAGCCCCTGGCCCCGCAAGGATTTACACACAGAGGAGATGAAATTAAAGGGCTGAGAGCAGATTGCAGGGAATCAGCATGGGGGGGGGCAGTTTAGGGGGACCCCCCTCAGGCTGCCCTAGCCCCTCCCCCACCACATTGATTACAGTCTCCCAATTAAAAAAGCAAATTAAATCAGTTTAGATGTTAAGGGGTGGGGATCCAGGCCTCTGGAGATTGGGGGGGTCTCTGGTGACCCCTGCAGGGGTGAATTTGGGGGTGGAGGGAGGTTTGCATTTTGGGAGGGTTCCATGAACAACCCCCTCCCCCATAACAAACCTCGGGGTTGGCTCCCACCTCGAATGCCGATATCCCCAAAACCAAGCTCCCAGCCCCCTAAAATCAGAGCCCCCCAATAGATCACCCAGGGGGGGCTCTTGAACTGCAAGGGGAGTTGGGCTGGTCAAACTGTCCCCCCAAGCTCAGGGGAACCAGCGCCCCAAGATCCACCCCCCCAACCCAAAAGAATGATACAAGTCCCCCCCACAAAGTAGCTCCCCACCCCCCATACTGGCTCTATTTGCATCAACTACGTATAGAAACTGCCCCATAATAAGCCTCCCCTCAGAAAACACAGCTGAGCCCCCAATAATTTCCGGCCCCCCCATAACGGCCCCCCCGCTGATTCTAGAAGTGGCTGAATCTCGTCCGTGACGACTGTTGCGGTTTTGCCTGGGGGGGGGAAGAAGAGAGAGATCAATGGGGGGTGAGAAATTGGGGCCCGTGGGGGGCGCTGCGGTCCCCAAAGGATTATGGGAGGAGCGAATCCCCGGCCCCGCTACCAACCTGGGGTGGGAGGCAGGTCCCATCTCACAGCACCAGGGGCTGCTGGTCCCCCATGGCCGAGGGGACCGACTCCAGGCTGCCTTTGTAGATTGGGGTGCGCTGGCCGGGCTCCTCCCTGAAACCGGGGGACAGACAGACCGGGTGAGTGGTACCCCCAAAACAGCCCCCTCCGGGCAGGGGGGTGGCACCCCCAAACCAGCCCCCGGGATCCCAACACCCCCCATTCCACCTTCCCTGTGGGGAGACCCCCCATTAGCTCCCCCTGCACCCCCCAAATCTTCCTAGGACTGAGCTGGGGGAGGGGAAATGAAGAGAGAACGCCCCCCACCCCCATGCGAACACCCGGATCCCTGTGGGGACTTTACGTTGTGTGGGGGGGAAGAAGGGGCTTGATGCCCTGGAGGGCAGGCCCCACGTCCGGCTCCGGCCGGATCACACCCCGCGCCCAGCCCTGGCCCCGCCCCGTGGCTGGATCAGACCCAGTGCCCCCCGGAGGGCAGGACCCACGCCCCGCCCTGGCTGGATCACACCCCACGCCCGGCCCCGGCCGGATCACACCCCGCGCCCCCTGAACCCGGCTCCCCGCACTCACCTGGCCGGGACCTTGGGGGCGTCGCGGTGCCGCAGAACGAAGGCGCCCAGCCCCACCACCAGCAGCAGGAGCAGCAGGGCCGGCAGCCCCACGGCCAGCAACAGCATGGGGGTGCTCAGCCCCAGCCCCGGCTCTGGGGGCAGAGAGAGGGGTCAGCGCGGGGCGGCCGGGACCCAGCCCGCCTGGGGGGGGAGGGGAGGGGCGGGGCGGGGGGACCCCCCGACTCACCCAGCCGGTAGCTGCTCTGCGCCCCCTGCACGTCCAGCCGCACGGCCCGGCTGCTCGCCAGGTGGGGCAGGCCGGGGTGCCGCGCCCGGCACACGTAGGTCCCGGCCTGCTCCTGGCTCACCTGGGGCAGGCTCAGCGAGCTGGACGCCACCACCCAGTCGTCCCCCTGCAACGAGGGCCAGACGCTAAGGGGGCAGGGGCCCACGCGGCACCCCTGCTGAGCCCCTGCCCCACAGTGCTCCCTGCTGGGCCCCCGTTCCCTGCCCCACGGCGTCCCTGCTGAGCCCCTGCCCCACAGTGCTTCCTACTGGGCCCCCGTTCCCTGCCCCATGGCATCCCTGCTGAGCCCCTGCCCCACAGTGCTTCCTACTGGGCCCCCGTTCCCTGCCCCACGGCGTCCCTGCTGAGCCCCTGCCCCACAGTGCTTCCTACTGAGCCCCCGTTCCTTGCCCCACGGCATCCCTGCTGAGCCCCTGCCCCACAGTGCTTCCTACTGAGCCCCCGTTCCCTGCCCCATGGCATCCCTGCTGAGCCCCTGCCCCACAGTGCTCCCTGCTGGGCCCCCGTTCCCCCCCTGCCCCACGGCGTCCCTGCTGAGCCCCTGCCCCACAGTGCTTCCTACTGGGCCCCCGTTCCCTGCCCCACAGCGTCCCTGCTGAGCCCCTGCCCCACAGTGCTTCCTACTGAGCCCCCGTTCCCTGCCCCATGGCATCCCTGCTGAGCCCCTGCCCCACAGTGCTTCCTACTGGGCCCCCGTTCCCTGCCCCACGGCGTCCCTGCTGAGCCCCTGCCCCACAGTGCTTCCTACTGAGCCCCCGTTCCTTGCCCCATGGCATCCCTGCTGAGCCCCTGCCCCACAGTGCTTCCTACTGGGCCCCCGTTCCCTGCCCCACGGCGTCCCTGCTGAGCCCCTGCCCCACAGTGCTCCCTACTGGGCCCCCGTTCCCTGCCCCACAGCGTCCCTGCTGAGCCCCTGCCCCACAGTGCTTCCTACTGAGCCCCCGTTCCCTGCCCCATGGCATCCCTGCTGAGCCCCTGCCCCACAGTGCTTCCTACTGGGCCCCCGTTCCCTGCCCCACGGCGTCCCTGCTGAGCCCCTGCCCCACAGTGCTTCCTACTGGGCCCCCGTTCCCTGCCCCACGGTGTCCCTGCTGAGCCCCTGCCCCACAGTGCTTCCTACTGAGCCCCAGTTCCCTGCCCCATGGCATCCCTGCTGAGCCCCTGCCCCACAGTGCTTCCTACTGGGCCCCCGTTCCCTGCCCCACGGCGTCCCTGCTGAGCCCCTGCCCCACAGTGCTCCCTACTGGGCCCCCGTTCCCTTCCCCACGGCGTCCCTGCTGAGCCCCTGCCCCACAGTGCTCCCTACTGGGCCTCTGTTCCCTGCCCCACAGTGCTCCCTGCTGAGCCCCTGTTCCCTGCCCCACGGCGTCCCTGCTGAGCCCCTGCCCCACAGTGCTCCCTACTGGGCCTCTGTTCCCTGCCCCATGGCATCCCTGCTGACCCCCTGCCCCACAGTGCTCCCTACTGGGCCCCCGTTCCCTGCCCCACAGCACCCCTGCTGACCCCCTACCCCACAGTGGTCCCTACTGACCCTCCGCCCTGCTCCCTGCCCCACGGTGCCCCTTACTGAGCTCCCGGCCCTGCTTCTGTCCCACAGCACCCCCTGCTGAGCCCCCCCTCCGCTCCCTGCCCCATGGCGCCCCCTACTGAACCCCCCACTCCTTGGCCGGGTCTACTGTGTTACACCCCACGCCCATCCTGGATATTTTGGGGAGTGCTTCCCCCCATCAGTGGGGGGTCCCGCCCAGCCCCTCACCTGGCGGCTCCACTCGTACACGGGGGGCTGGGAGGCGTCCGCCGAGCACTGCAGCTCCAGATCCTCGCCCTCCATCACGGCCAGGGAGTCGCCCACGGTCCCGCACCAGGTGTGGGCGCGGGTCACGTAGACGCTCCGCAGATCTGGGGGGGAAACATGGTGTCAGGCCCCGAAATCCTTGCCCCCGCCCGCCCAGCTGCCGGAGAGATAACTGACCCCCCCAACGGTGCGGGCACCTAGGGTTCCAATTGGGGTGTCCCGCTGTACCCCACTTCTAGCTGTCGGGCGTAGACACCCCCCGATCAAAGTACCCCCTCCATGCTGGGCACTATACGCTTCCCCTGCCTGCCCCAGAGACGCACCCCCAAAGTGACGCTATTTCCCCACTCTGGGCTCCCTGCTGCACCCGTGACCCCCACCCCCCTGTGTCCATCCCCTCCCACCCAGCCTGGGGGAGCAAGGGGCAAACTGGGGGGGGGGGCGCTATGCTCAAAGATGACCAGGGTTAGCCCCCCCATGGCCCCCCGAGAGGCAGACACGTGTGTCCCCCCCTTCCACTGGCAGAGCCAGATTCATGTGTGTGGCGAGGGGCCAGTTCTCAGCGGCAGCGAGTGGTCCCGGGGGCCCCCCACAGCCTGCAGGTTGAGGGGACCCCGGGGCGGGCGCCACCCACACTCCACGCGCAGGCGGATCTCGGCAGAGGCGCTGGCGTTGCCCGTGGCGTTGGCGGCCAGGCAGCGGTAGGCCCCGGCGTGCCAGGACTGCAGGGCCTCGATGGCCAGCAGGAGGCGCCCGTGCGCCCGCGTCACGTTCACGTCGAAGAACCAGCAGCGCAGCCGGTCGGGTCGGTCCAGGGAGACCCAGGACTGGAGCCACTGCGGAGAGACGCCCCCGGGTCGCCGTCAAGCCCCGCTAGGCCCCCCGCGGCGCGGGCCCCCAGCGACCCACGGACCCAGTGCCCTGCCCCACGCGGCACGGCCCCCGGCATGCCCCGCAGACCCAGTGCCCTGCCCCCCCCATCGCCTGCCCCCCGGGCGCCCCCACGGACCCAGTGCCCTGCCCCACGCGGCACAGCACGGCCCCCTGGCATGCCCCCGGACCCAGTGCCCTGCCCCCCCCATGGCCTGCCCCCCGGGCGCCCCCACGGACCCAGTGCCCTGTCCCCCCTCGGCCTGCCCCCCGGCGCCCCCTGGACCCTGTGCCCTGCCCCCCCCATGGCCTGCCCCCCGGCATGCCCCGCGGACCCAGTGCCCTGCCCCCCCCATGGCCTGCCCCCCGGCATGCCCCCCGGACCCAGTGCCCTGCCCCCCCTATGGCCTGCCCCTCGGGCGCCCCCACGGACCCAGTGCCCTGTCCCCCCTCGGCCTGCCCCCCGGCACCCCCCTGGACCCAGCGCCCCGCCCCACGCGGCACGGCACAGCCTCCCGGCCTGCCCCCCAGCACCCCCTGGACCCAGTGCCCTGCCCCCTTGCGGCACGGCCCCCTGGCCTGCTCCCTGGCACCCCATGGACCCAGTGCCCTGTCCCCCCTCGGCCTGCCCCCCGGCGCCCCCTGGACCGTGTGCCCTGCCCCCCGTGGCATGGCCCCCCGGCACCCCCTATAGATCCCCAGCACTGCCCCCCGCGGCACAGCCCCCCGGCCTGCCCCACAGCACCCCCTATGGACCCCTTCCCTGCCCCCTGCAGCACAGACCCCCTGCCTGCCCCACGGTGGCCCTTATGGACCCCCTGCCTGCCTGCCCCATGGCACCCCCTGCTGACCCCATGCCCTGGCCCCTGTGGCATGGACCCCCCTGCTTGCTGCCTGCCCCACAGTGCTCCCTGCTGACCCCACGCCATGCCCCCTTCAGCTTGGCACCCCTTAGTGTCGGGTGAGGGGCAGGTTCGTCCCTGGCGGGGCAGGGCTGGGGCTGGGGCTGACCCGACTGTATTTCTGGAAGGTGAATTGGCTCATGTCAGCGCCGTCCTCGTCCGTCAGACACTCCATGGTCACGTAGCTGCCCTCCAGTATCGGGCCCTCTTGGTCAAGCAGGCGGACGGTGGGTCTCTCTGGAACAGGCCATGGGGCAGAGTCTGAGCGCCCCCTAGAGGGGAAAGGCCCCATTCCCCGCCCCCCTGAGCAGCCAGTCCCCCGCCTTGAGGCCGAATGAGAGCTGGCTCCCCACAGAGGGGAAAGGCCCCAGGCCCCATTCCTCACCCTGCCCCCCAACCAGCCACCCCCCCCCACCCTGGGGTCGGCACTCCCCAGAGGGGACAGGCCCCAGGCCCCATTCCCTGCCCCCCTGAGCCGGCCAGTCCCCGCCCTGGGGTGGACAGGAGCCGGTGCCCCCTAGAGGGGACAGGCCCCCCAACCCTGCTGCCCCCCATCGCGGTGGGCTCTCCTGCCCCGCCTGGGCCCATCTGGCGGAACAGGCCTAACGGGGCGGGTGTTGGGGGGGGGAAGGAGCCCCGGCCCCCCCTGCGAGGAAGGGAGGCCGCAGGCCGGGGCGAGGGGCACGGCTCTGACCCACTCACCCCCGCGGGCCCAGCACAGGGCGAGGGCGGCGAGCAGGACCAGGGGGGCTGGCAGGGCCATGGCAGCTGGCGAGGGCCGTCCGGGCAGACTCTGGCCTCCCGCTTCCGCGTTGCGGCAGGAGGAGGAAGGCCGGGGGGGGAGCCGGGGTTCCGTCTGCCTCGAACCCTGCCTCTGAATGCACCTGCGGGGGGGGGCTGAGCAGAGACGCCAGGGCCCAGGCCCCTCCCGGGGGCGGAAAGTCAATAAAACACCGCCTGCAACTGACTCCCAGCCCCTGCACATGCGATGGTGCAATTCCAACACCCAATGCAGGGGGGGGGCAGCCCAGGGCTGGGCTAGCAGGGGGCTGTGGGGGGGGGGAGTGAGGGGCACCGGCAGAGCTGGGGGGTCCAAGGCTGGGCTAGCAGGGGGCTGTGGGGGGGGGGAGTGAGGGGCACCGGCAGAGCTGGGGGGTCCAGGGCTGGGCTAGCAGGGGGCTGTGGGGGGGGGAGTGAGGGGCACCGGCAGAGCTGGGGGATCCAGGGCTGGGCTAGCAGGGGGCTGTGGGGGGGGAGTGAGGGGGCACCGGCAGAGCTGGGGGGTCCAGGGCTGGGCTAGCAGGGGGCTGTGGGGGGGAGTGAGGGGCACCGGCAGAGCTGGGGGGGTCCAGGGCTGGGCTAGCAGGGGGCTGTGGGGGGGGAGTGAGGGGCACCGGCAGAGCTGGGGGGTCCAGGGCTGGGCTAGCAGGGGGCTGTGGGGGGGGAGAGTGAGGGGCACCGGCAGAGCTGGGGGGGGCTGCGGGTCGGGAGTGAGGGGCACCGGCTGACCCATGCATTTGGGGCAATCCTAGGACTCCTCCTCCCCCCCGCATGGGAATTTCTGAGGGGGGGTGACCCAGGGCCTGGGGAAGGGGAACCGGGCAGCTGCGGTCACCCCCTGCCAAGAACGGGCCGGGAGGGGGAGGGGGAGGGGGGGGGGGGTGTAACTCATCCCCTCCCCCCCAGCCACCTGCATCGCAGGGCGGGGGGCGGGGCCGCCGGCTGGACCGGTCCGGCTGGTTCCGGGCCCCACGGGGAGTGCTGGGGGCGGGGAGCCCAGCCCCAATGGCATAGCGGGGGGAGGGGGAGGAGCTGAGCTGGAGGGGGGGGCAGGGGGCACGGGGGAGGGGCTGGGAAACACCAGGCTGGGGGGGTGGGCATGGGGCACGGGGGGGAGACACCAGTCGGGGGGGCAGGGGGCACGGGGGGAGACACCAGGCTGGGGGGGTGGGCAGGGGGCACGGGGGGGGGAGACACCAGGCGGGGGGGTCAGGGGGCACGGGGGGGGGGAGACACCAGGCGGGCTGGGCCGGGGGCACGGGGGGGAGACACCAGGCGGGGGGGGGCAGGGGGCACGGGGGGGGAGACACCAGGCGGGCTGGGCCGGGGGCACGGGGGGGGGAGACACCAGGCTGGGGCGGGGCGGGGGGCACTGGGGGCGGGGGCTGGGAGACACCAGGCTGGGGCGGGGCGGGGCGAGGGGCACGGGGGGGGGCTGAGCTGGGGGGCAGCAAGAGGGAGACCGGACACCCAGCTATAGGGGTTTCTAGTTGCCCCCCCGGGTCCGGATTTCACACTTGCGCCCAGCGGGGGCAGCAGGGACCCGGGGGCGGGGCGGTATTAGTGGGCGGGGCATGGGGCGGGCTGGGGGCGGGGCATGGGAAGGGGACACTCTGAAGCCCCCCACCCCCCACAGCCCGTCCTGCCCGCGGCGGGCCCTGGAACTGCCCCCCACCGGCCCGCTGATTGGCTGAGCCCCCTTCCGCTCGGACACAGTGTAGCAATGGGGGCCATGTGACCCCCCCCGCCGGGATGAGGTCATGCCCCCCCGGGCCCGCCCCCGCCTTAAAGTGACAAGTGCAAGGAGGGAAGGGGGGAGGTTCCCATGGGGTGGGGCGAACAGGGTGAAACTCACTACAGGGGACCCGGATGCGGTGATGCTGGCTGGGAGCCAGGACTCCTGGGTTCTCTCCCCGGCTCTGGGAGGGGAGTGGGGTCGAGTGGTTCGAGCAGGGGGGCTGGGAGCCAGGACTCCTGGGTTCTCTCCCTGGCTCTGGGGGGGGAGTGGGGTCGAGTGGTTCGAGCAGGGGGGCTGGGAGCCAGGACTCCTGGGTTCTCTCCCCGGCTCTGGGGGGGGAGTGGGGTCGAGTGGTTCGAGCAGGGGGGCTGGGAGCCAGGACTCCTGGGTTCTCTCCCCGGCTCTGGGAGGAGAGTGGGGTCGAGTGGTTTGAGCAGGGCTAAATTAACAGATTGGGGATTCTCTCCATACCCTGGCAAACTGCGTCCCATGAAGTGAGCTGTAGCCCAGGAAAGCTCATGCTCAAATAAATTGGTTAGTCTCTAAGGTGCCACAAGTCCTCCTTTTCTTTTTGTCATGTTTCTGTTAAACAGCCCCCGCACTCACCCCAGAGGTGGCTGCATCTCTGCTCCGTACATTTCCTTGGGATCTTGAGGCAGGAGCTGTGGGAATATTTGTCTCTGTTATGAAGACAAACGCCTGGACATCTAATGAGTGAAGCTTTTCTCCTGCCTCCCCCGCTTCACGCCTCATCACCGGCCCTTTCAAACCAGCCGGAGGATTTGATCGTTTAAGGCTAATTGAGCAAATGGGAATTAAAAGCTGATCCATCCAGCGGGTTGAAGTGTCACTGGGCTGCAGGCAGGCCTCTCGACATGCACCCCCTCCCAGCGATCTCCCCGCAGAGTGGGTAGGGGAAGGCCAGAGCTGGGTGGATGTGAGACACGCCTAGGAAGCCCCCTTGAACACCACTCCTCCGACCCACCCAGATTTCACCCCCCACCTCCCATCTCAGCTTCTGACTCCCCCATCTCTAACCACTAGCCCCCACTCCCCTCCTAGAGCTGCGGAGAGAACCCAGGAGTCCTGGCTTCCAGCCCCCTGCTCCCTCATTTACCCTGTTGTGAGCTTAACTGTACAAGGGAAGTGAAAGTTCATTACACCAAGCTCGGTTGATGGGAAAAGAGGCCGAAGGGAGGCCAAGCTGGAATTAGCAGTAGTCAGGTGGCAAGTCACCGCTAACGGCCCAGCCAGACGCTGCCTCGTCCCGTTGGGGTCCAGCCTTTAACTGTTCCCTGGCTGTGGGGACAGACCCGACTGGTGTTTCCAAGGTGCGGTGCCGGCTGACGTCTCCGCAGCCCAATTCTCTCCTTGAGCCCCGTTTGAAGTTGGACAGTTTCGGGCTCGTGTGAACACCTTGAACTCGGGGCGGCTACTGCCCAGAAAGTGGGGTTCTGCCCCTCCGGCCGCACGGGTCCAAGGAGCAGTGACGCCATCAGGGTGAACTTCCGCAGCCAACCCCCGTTGAAAGCCGAGGTGCCGCCCTGGCACTGCGGATGTGACCCGGGATGGCTAACGCGAGAACATGGCCACGCAGCCACGCTCGGTGGCCGGGCTATAGCCAGGTGCTGGCCTGCAGCCGTCTCCGCTGCGTCTGGTGAATGCCCCGGATAACGGCGTGGGCTTAACGTGGAGCTGCAACCGGGGACGCGGCCCGAGCAGGGTGTTTCCAGTGGATCCGGCCTGGGCCCTTCGCTAGTTACCATCTCAGCGAATGCTCTGAAAACACACAGCCTGCAGCGAACCCCTAAACTGGGGGAGTGGGAAATCCTGGCGAGGACACGGCCCCGATACCGAGCCAGGCGGGTCACTTGGGAAACAAACAACGGGTCACGTGGGCTGCAGCCCATGAAAGCTTATGCTCCAATAAATTTCTTAGTCTCTAAGGTGCCACAAGTCCTCCTGTTCTTTCCTGCCCAAAGACCCACGGTGCAGGGGGACCGAGCTCAGACAAAGCCAAAGGCTCAGGGGCTGGCAAGGGGACGGGGGGGCTGGACAAATTGGGGGGCTGGGCTGTGGTGGCTGCTGCCGATCTGCCCTTGCTCAGCTGGCTGGGTGTGAAAGAGAGTCGCAGTCCCTGCCACGAATGGAGAGTCTGGCACGGTGGGTACTGAAGATGGGAGGACAGGGGCTGTGGACACGGCTGGGAGGGAAGAGGCCGAAGGGTGGCCCAGGGGGTGGCCCAGGGGGAAATGGGTCAGGGGCACGGAAGGGAACAATGGGGCCACTGGCACGGGAGGCGTTGGCTGGACGTATCTCTTCCCTGAGGCCCGAGATCGCGTCCTCCATCAGCCCGGCATTCTCCGCGAAGCCCTTCTGCAGCATGGCCTCCTGCTCCTTCACCTTGCTCTCCAGCGCCCGCTCCGCCTCCTGCCGGGCACCGGCCAGCTCCTCCGCCACCTTGGCCTCCAGCTGCTTCACGTTCTCCTGGTGGCTGCGCTCCTGGTCCTTCACCAGCGGCTCCGTCTGCAGCCGCTTCTCCTCCGCCGCCTTCCGCTGCTGCTCCAGCCTCTCCCCCTCCTGCTTCTCCCCTGCACATCGGGACGAAGGGTCACAACGAACAACCCCGACGTAAAGGCCCCACGGTCACACGAGAACGGGCAGCATTTGGGGCAGATCTGCCGGAGTCTGATTCTCAGACATCTGAAGACCCCCCCCCGCCATTTCCTGCTGACGTCCTGGTGGGCGCAGAGCTGTCCCTGCCTGGAGCTGAGTGAAGACCTGAGCGTCTGGGGTGGGGGCCCAACCAAATCATCAAAAGGAAACATTTTGTTTTGGATCAAAGTGGAACGTAAAACTGTCAGATTTCCCGGCGAAATGAAAATAGTTGGAAAAAAATTATTTGGGGTCAAGCTAAACGTTTCATTCAACCTGAAACAAATATTTGTCTCTGTTTCTTTTTTGTTTCCTGTTGTTTTAAATTATTTTTAAAAATAAAATGTCGGTCCAGCCCAGCCCAACCTGCCTTTCTGAAACAAAAAGTTGAAATATTTTAACATTTTTAGAATTGTTGTTAAGACCATAAGAGCGGCCAGACCGGGTCAGCCCAAAGGTCCATCCCGCCGAATGTCCTGGCTGCCGACAGAGGCCAGTGCCCGGTGCCCAGAGGGAATGAACAGAACAGGGCAATTATCGAGTGATCCATCCCGCTGTCAGGTCCCTGCATCTGCACTCAGAGGTTTAGGGACACCCAGAGCAAGGGGTTGTGTCCCTGCCCATCCTGGCTAATGGCCATTGAGGGACCCATCCTCCAGGAATGTATCTAGTTCTTTTCTGAACCCTGGTATTCCTCTGCTCTTCACAACATCCCCTGGCAGTGAGTCCCACAGGTTGGCTAAGCGTTGTGTGAGGAAATACTTACTTCTTGTTGTTTGTTTTAAACCTGCTGCCTGTTAATTTCATTGGGTAACCCCTGGCTCTTGTGTGACATGAAGAAGTAAACAACACTTCCTTCTTCGCTTTCCCCTCACCAGTCATGATTTGCAAGACCTCAATCACGTCCCGCCTTCGTCCCCTCTTTTCCAGGCGGAACAAGTCTTTTTAATCTCTCCTCGCATGGAAGCAGTTCCATCCCCCTCATCATGTCTGTTGCCTTTCACTGCACTTTTCCCAGGTGTCACGGAGTGTGGGGGAGTCCAGGCCCTGCACCCCTCTTCCTGGGATTCACTGAGACTCTCAGCCAGCCAGTAAAACAGAAGGTTTATTGAACAACAGGAACACAGTCCAAAACAGAGCTTGTGGGTACAAGCAGGACCCCTCAGTCAAGTCCTTCTGGGGGAGCAGGGAGCTTAGACCCCAGCCCTGGGGTTCCCTGCGTTCCACCACCCAGCCCCAAACTGAAACTAAACCCCCCCAGCAGACTCCCTCCTGCAGCCTCTGTTCACATTCCCGGGCAGAGGTGTTACCTCCCCCTCCTGGCTCCGGTTACCGGCTCTCAGGTCTCCCATCCCCAGTGAAACCCCCCTGCTACATTCCCAGGTCAACACTCCCCCCTCCCTGCTGCGTCACACCAGGTCTAACAGATCTTGTCATTGACCTGAATGATTTGCAACAAATTGGCCTAAATTACCACTAGCTTTGGTTGCCCTGAATCTGTGGGGAAAAAAACTTTCTGCAAAAAATGTCTTCTAACTCTACTAATGTCTGCTAGCGAGAGCGGGGTTTCCCTGGTTGCCGGTGACAGGAGATTGGCTGCTGGACGGAGTTTGACATGGGGAGCGGAGAGATTTTCTTGGGCACAGAGCCTGCCGGAGAGGCAGGCGTGGGGATTTCTGAGGAAGGGATCTTCCTGCTGCTGTACAGGCCCCTGTGCAAATCCTTTATAAGGAAGCAAGAGGACACCAATGAATACCCCTGCAAGGTCAGGAATTCTGGCGAACCCCTGGGCCCAAAGGGGCGACAATCTCTAATCTAACTCCAGAGATCCTCCTGTGTGGAGCTTAGCTAAGGAGCTAAACTCGGACGTGTTATTGCTGAGGCATCCTGCCACAACCCGTGACCGGGGGTTCAGACTGTGTAAAATGATGCTGTAGCACATAGGACTAAGCCAGCCCCCCCCACCCCCCCAGACCTACATATGCGATTCATGTTACCTGTGGTCGTTTGATGGATTGGTCCGTCCATGAGAGCAGTTGCCGGTCGGCTGGAGTTTATCAGACTCTGGGCTGGGGTTATCAAAATAGGCCCCCAAATCATTTAGACGCTTTCAAAAAATCTCACCCCTCGTTTTGATTTTTTCCCTGTACAAGTGAGCAGTGATTTGAAGTTGCTCTGGGAATCTTGCACCATTATTTTAGTTCCTGTGGGGCCTTACATTAAAAATGGATATTTTCCCCTATTTTTCTTTTAAATTCTCCTGAGGTTTGCTTGGTTTTTGCTTCTCCTTCACAGTATTTGAGTCTATGGCCCATAGTTCACACGCGCTAGACTGTCTTGTGACAGGCAGCAAATAATTCAAGGATGAAGAGGTATTTAAATCCAATGCGGTATTGATTTATAGTAAGTGAATTTCACGTGGGTGGAAAATACTGGTTCCATGACCCCTAAGAGACACACACACACACCCTCGAGTGTTTAATCTCTTTGGTCACTATTCATTCTGGCTGCAGGGGTTTTTTTAGAAGGTTATTACAGGTTTAACTGCCACCCTTTGTTTCAGATAGCTGCAAGAGACAGATAAGCACAAGTCATTGCCCGAAGCAACTCAGAAATTGCAAACATCTTGGTGGAGGGGCGTCACTGAATATCGTTTTGGCTTAAGAGTCTGTGTGTAAGACACAGCAGAAGGGGAGACACTCAGAGGCAGAAGGAGCAGAAAGCGAGATGCAGCCCGAACAAGCAACTGATAGCACAACCCTGAGAGAAGCCCAGAGAGGGAGCTTTTGGGCACAATACTGGCTAAAAGAGGCTTCGAATTGTGAGCAAGGAAACTGTCTCCTGTTAGAATCAGAGAACCATAGAAGATCAGGGTTGGAGGGGACCTCAGGAGGCCATCTAGTCCAACCCCTGCTCAAAGCAGGACCAACCCCAACTAATTCATCCCAGCCAGGGCTTTGTCAAGCTGGGCCTTAAACACCTCAAAGGATGGAGATTCCACCCCCTCCCTAGGGAACCCATTGCAGCGCTTCACCACCCTCCTATTGAAATAGTGTTTCCTGATCTCCAGCCTAGACCTCCCCCACTGCAACTTGAGACCATTGCTCCTTGTTCTGTCATCTGCCACCACTGAGAACAGCCCAGCTCCATCCTCTTTGGGACCCCCCTCAGGTAGTTGAAAGCTGCTATCAAATCTCCCCTCACTCTTCTCTTCTGCAGACTAAACAATCCCAGTTCCCTCAGCCTCTCCTCGTAAGTCACGTGCCCCAGCCCCCTAATCATTTTCCTTGCCCTCCGCTGGACTCTCTCCAGTTTGTCCACATCCCTTCTGGGGTGGGGGGCTCTGTTTTTCAAGTCCTCCTGTATTCAGGGAAACTGCATTTGGTCCATGCTTGGTAAATAAACGGAACTGCACCAAAGGTACCAGACTCCATCCTCAATTTCTCCTCCCAACTGGAAGAACGCACAAGATCCCAAATTCTGGCGAGCCACTTGGGTCAGAGAGGGTGAAGCGCGGGACACAGACACAGACGTCGGAGGAAATTAGGGAATTTTTAGGTCCAGTTCGATCAGAAATCCCCCAGACTAGGGCAACGTACTGGCTTTCTCCTCCTCTGCTTCCGTCAACGTTTTATCTGCTCTGAGGATGGCGTCTGTCGCTGCCGTCTCACTGGCCAGGAACTGGTCCAGTACCTCTTCTGCCTGGGAAGACAAGATCACATAGTGTTGAATTATTCATGAGCTCTCATGAATATGCTAATCACCCTCGGCTCCCAGGGGCCTGTGGCCAATAAAACAGGTTTCCTCTTAGCAAGGGCCCTTGCTGTAGTTTTAAAACAGACATCGGGGGGGATGAGGTAGGAAAGCCGTGCTGTGGACACAAGGGCAACGGAAGGTCCCTAAAAGCGGGGGGGCCACCAGCGCCCGAACCGTGGCCCCGCCCCTGCACTACCCTTCCCCCGAGACCCAGCCCCCACTTCGCCTCTTCCTTTTAAAAGTGATGGGGCTATGGCCCCCCGTTCTGCTGCCCCGGTGTGGATAGTTACGCCCACTTTCCAAATGAAGGGGTTGTCACCCACTCACCTTGACCCCGTTGTTGGGTGTTGTCCGGAAGTTCACCACGTGGCTCTGGTCTCGGAGGTCTTGGTAGCCGCCAGGTAGCATGTAAACCCCGTCCGTGTGCTTCTTCCACACAGCGGCCGAGAGCTCCTCCCGCAACAAGAGGCAAAGTTCCTTGGAGATGCTTCATTTCTGCTGAAGACGTTGCCAAAGGCCTAGCCAAGAAAAGGAAAAAACCTTATTTCTGTCCTCTGCAGCCTCCTCTCTGCTCTCGCTTGTAGCTTGCGGGCGGCCCCTGCCCCGCTGGAGAGAAGGACACAGTCCTGGCTTTCTAGCCCTTTCACCAGCAGGTAACTTACTCCCACTGCTCGAGCCAAGCTCACCTCGAGCGTGTGAGCTCACAGCGGTTTCAATCCTAGACAGGCCCCGGCACGGCTGCCCTGGGGGATTGAACCGGGGACCTCTAGAGCTAAAAGCACGAGTGCGTTACCATAAGCTCTAGCTGATACCTCACCGTCTCAGCCTTGAGGGAGAGCTGCATGAAAAGCTGCAGAGCGTCTGCCAGGCTTTTGCCGTGCCGCTCCGAGAGCTCCATCATGGCCGCCGGGAATGCCACCCGCGTCTCTGTCTCAGCCACGTAGTGAGCCAGCGCCTCCGTGACGCCCATCTTGTTCTCTGTAGCCGTCACGGCGTCCTCCAGGCAGGGCATGTTCCCGCTGTGTGTCGTGTCCACGTAGCTTTTGACCAAGGCGCTGAGCACTGGGAGGAGAAAGGAGCAGAGGGTTAGGACACTGGGGGGCTTTTTCTGGGCCCTCCAGGGCTGACGGTCTATGCGGGGGACTGGTCCCTTCCTCTTTTGATCCTGGGCTAGACAAGCAGCCCTTCGAAGACAGCAATGGACAGGAAACAACCGGCCCCTGCAGGGTGGGAAATGATCATGCGATTAGGAGAGGAGGTGATCCCACTATCAGCTGCCAACCCACTGGGAATCTGGCCCTGCACCAGGCTCAAACGGCTCATGCGATCCTGCCCAAACAGGGGAATCTTGAGTCTCTTCCTGGAAAATGGATCTCACTCTTCACACCAGCTTAGGCGTTTTTAGCCTGAGTGGCTGACCATATTTCGGGTCTCGTATGTTGTTTCTGTTATGGGGCGGGGGGGACATTACTGATGGAGTCAGCTATTTCTTTGCTACTTCTTTATTTACAAAGTCCTGTTCCCCAGAACATAGCAAGAGGCAGTTTTTTTACTCACAATCCCAAGCCTCTTTCCAGCCAGCACGCTGCCCAAAAGATCTCCCTTGCTCTTAGCCTTTTTCAGGGTCATGTTAGAAGCACGTCTCGCTGGCTTCCTTCTGTCTCTGCTTCAGTGGTGATTCTGCTGCTTCTTTGCCACACCCTCCCCTCAAACACACACACACCTCCACCAAAAACAACACCCATATAGCTCAGATTCCTGAGCAGCCTTGTATACGTCCCACATTTTGGGTAGTGGCTTCTTTAGTCTCAGTTGCCTGGTTCCATAAAAGGAGCTTAATTGCTTCTTTGACACTTATCCTGATTGAAGGGCAGCTGCGACCCCACCGGGTTTCACCCTGTATACCAATGTTGTGTTTCAGTAATTTGCTACTGGGGCAGCCCCCGGGCACTCGGAGCAGGGAGCTTAGCTGGGGGTGCTCATTAGGGAGTGCCGGAGAGCAAAGCGGCTGTGTGGGTCTGTGGCTTCCCAACGGGGCTGCATGTGAATTTGAAGCACCCCTATTGATCCCTTTTGTTACCCAGCCCATTAATCACCTGCATTAGCACAGCTCCTTGTGTCTGGCTGCCCTGCTGCAAACCGACCACTGGCTCCTCCTCTTTGCTGTCTCTGAGCTGGGACATGATGCCACTTTTTGCACCAGGACATTCATTCCCTTTAACAGCTTCAAGCCAGCGGGTGCTGCGAAACTCCAGGGGAGATTTATTCGCTTCTCCTTTCTGCTAAAAGTTGGCAGGGATGGGACTCGCGGCTGATTAGATTTCAGGCAACGGAGTTCGGGCATGTGGAAGTTGCTGGGCCCGAAACCCCCCCACGCAGTGCAGACAGCTCTGTGTCAAATGGAAACCGAAAATGGCCAGGAAAGCAGCTGCCCTTCGTATAACAGGAACTGATGCTGGGAATTCAGCGTCATGCCAACACAAAGCCTGTCTTGTGTTTCACTCTAAGCTGTGGGGAAAAGGCACAGCACCATCCCATAAAGTGAGGATAAACAGTACTCTTCCCTCCCCTACAGACACCCGCAGGGTTTTACTGCCCATGGGTTCCTGGGCCGCCCTCCCCACCCTTTTTAAATATTGGCATAAGAGCTTTTTCCAGTCCTCTGGGACCTCCCTTGAATGCCAAGATGTGTTGCATATCAACATCAATGGTTCAGGGAGATCCTCGGCCAATTCTTTTGCTACTCTTCCATACGGGGTACCTGGTCCTGCTGATTTAGAGATGTGTAACTTTAGCATCTGGTATTTAACATCCCCCCCAGTCACTGGCCGAACAGAAAGCCTATTACCGCTGCTGGAACCGAAAGCCTCGGCCCCCTTCCTTCCACTCCAGGGCAGGAATATTCACAGAACCCATCTGCCTTCTTTGCATCCCTTGTGAGGCTTTTCCAAGCTGTGACCATTAGGGTGCCCAGGGGTCACATTTTGTAGCTTTATCCACAGCCACGAGGGCTCGAAGCTTCCTTTTTCTTTAAGTCTGAAACCAGCCCAGACCCACCTGGCTCCAGGAGCTGGGGCTTTAAGGAAAATGATAATACTCATGAACGTCGGCAGCCCTGGTCCCTGCTGCCCCCTGGTACGACTAGCCGGGTGTATAAAGAGGCTGTAGCAGCCATGGGAAGGTCTTGAAAATAACAGGTTCAAGGGACGTGGCATCCAGCAGGACACGCTTGGGGCGGGGGGTGCCACGCTCGGGAGGTGGCTCAGGGGATAAGAAGCAGCTCTCTGGGGAAAGGGGCCTCGCCATGACTGAAGGCGGGTGTGATAAATGAAGGGGGGCGGGGAGCTCCCTTTTATGGACACCCAGCCAGCCAGTAGCTATAAAATCCCTCTGAGTAACTGTTCTCTAATCGACAGAGACTCCCCTTTGGTCTGTCTGGGGTTGTTCTCCCGGGGAGAGGAGACAGGGCAGCAGCGATGCCGTAAGACGCTTGGGGCCAGTTTCAGTATCATACCTAGAAACTTCTCAGCTGAAAGCCCAGATACAGAAACAGGTCAGGAAATGTCTCAAAAGACGCGACCGGGTTTGTCCCTTTTTATTTCTTTATGGCTTGTGGACTCCTCCCTGCTAACCCCGGGTGCTTTTGTTTTGCTTGTAACCTTTTAACTGGACCTGAAGAAAACTAGTTTTGGTGCTTAATCCTTGAGTTACTCTTAAAATCTAGCAAATGCCTAAGTTACCAGATGAATTTTCTTTTCTTTTTTTTATTAATAAAACATCTTTTTAAGAACCGGATTGGATCGTGGCGTCCTAAGAGGCTTGTGCATCATGCTGTTTAATTAGCTGGTGGCAACAGCTGATTTCCTTTGTTTTCTTTCTCAGCTCTTCCTCAGAGGGGGGGTGAAAGGGCTTGAGGGTACCCCCCAGGGAGGAATTCCCAAGGGCGCCCTCCTGGTCTCTCAGAGGGGTTTCTTGCACTTGGGTGTGGCAGCATCGACCCATCCAAGGTCAGACACAAGCAGTGACCTTGGGACTTCAACACCAGCCTGGAGTGGCCAGTATGAATTTTTAGAGTCCTTGTGGGCCCCACCTTCTGCACTCGAAGTGCCAGAGTAGGGAATCAGCCTTGACATGGTGTCAGCGGTGGGATTATTTTGAACCAGAGACACAGACCTCAGGATTTTAAAAGGACACATTTTTCCTTTTTGCAGCCTGCAAAGCCAGGGAGGTATTTTCTTTCTTTTCCTTGCTTTGCTGCCTGAGGGGGACAGGCTCACAGAGAGTTCAGCCTGCCAAGCCGGGGAGTCCAACAAGCAGTTATTTTTTTTCTAGCTTCATGGCAACGAAATAGCTAGGCTAGCTTTGGGCAGACTGTGCAGCAGGTTGCAGTCGGGCACCGACGGCCGAGAGAACCCAGTCTTCCCAAAGCGGCACGCCACAGAGCAGACAGACCCAGATCCAGCCCAGAAATCCAGCTCCATGACAGAAATGCAGGGAGGGGATGGGGGACCGGAGACACCCACCCGAGGGAAGGGTCAGCCCTCCCCTCCCCGGGATCCAGGTGGCAGGCTGGAGGTATGCTCTTAACCCAGACCGAGTTCTGACTGCAGAAGACAGGAATTTCTTCCTGCAGATGAAGCGCTTGGAGGTGGAAGCGGAGGAGAAGTGCTTAGAGCTGGAAAGGGCGAAGCTGGGTCAACCAGGTAGCCCTACAGTCCTCCTCCAGGTACTGCTCTCAGCCTTGACAGTGGGTGTGATGGGCTGTCACCCCCGGGGTGCAGTCTGGGAGCCGTGGGAACAGCTATGGGCTCTAACCCCCAAGCTGGGCAGGCCTCTCCCACACTGCTTTCTTGGAGATCCAGCCGGCCTCACCAGGCCCTGTTATCGCCCAACATGAGAGTGGGTGGCACCACACACCCAACTCAGCTACCTGAGTGCTTTACCGCAGCCACTCAAGGACAAAGCGCCCATTTCCCAGTTCCCCCGCCTTGCACCCTTGCTGGAGTGTGACCCTGGAATTAGACCATCATGCACTGCATAGGGATCTGTACAATCTAAGCTCATTAATAATCCCCCCTCCCACCCTCCAAACCCCTCGATCCCAGCCTGGAGCACCCTTCTGCGCCCCAAACCTCTCATCCCCAGCCCCACCCCAGAGCCTGCACCCCTTCCTGACCCCTTGTCCCAGCCCAGAGCCCCCTCCCACACCCTGAACTCCTAAATTCTGGCCCCACCCCAGAACCCACACCCCCAACCAGAGCCCTCACCCCCTCCTGCGCCCCTACCCCACCTGGCATGGGAGGAGGGGCAGGGGTTTCAGGGAGTCTCTAAAATAAAGGGGGCTGGGAAGGGGTATCCAGAGAGTTTGCTGGGGCGGGGGGGATGCAAACACTCACCTTGACCCCTTTGTTGGCATTCGCCCGGTAATCCTCCAGCACCTGGTTCTGGTCCCTGTCGTAGGCCTGGTACCCGCCGGGCTGCGGAGTAACGCCCGGCGCTGAGTTTCTGCTGCATGGTGGCCGAGAGCTCCTCCAGCAGGGCGCGGCAGGTCTGCTCTGAAACGGCCTCGTTTTCTGCGAGGAGGTTTGCGTGTCGCTCCATGATCCCGGCCTGGGCAAGGAAAGGGAGAAACCCCATCGCAGAGCCACGGCTGGGGCTGGATTCCGGTGCCCTCCCACCTCCTCTGGCTGAGACCTGCGCCTGACAGCGGGTCACTGGCCAGTTGGGGGACTGGGGGAGCCGAAGGCTCACTGGCGACTCGGGGGATCAGAGGGTCACAGATTCATTGGCCAGTCGGGGGATTGGGAGGGCCAATGGTCCACTGGCCAATCGGGTCACCCGGGGATTGGACGGTCCCTGGAGCAGGCACCAGGTTTCGGTCGGGTATCCGTACAGCACTTGGCACTACGGGGCCCTGACCCACCACTGCTGCCCAGCAGGCCCCCCTGCCCTGCAAATCCACCCCAGCAATGCTCTCCTTGCTGCTGGGCCCGGCCCGGGACCCCCTGTGACGAAGTGGGACTGTTCTTAATGTTTCCTCCGAATATTGTGGGGGTGCCTCAGTTTCCCCTATGCAGTTCTTAAGTATCTAGGTGGTGGGGTAAGGGTGTATGATCATTGCAGAGCCCTACAGGGCAGGTGTGTGCAGGGGTCTGGACACAGAGAATGACCGACACCCTGTTTCCTGGCAACTGATGGCCTGGGCCCTTCCCCCCTGCGAGGTGAGAGCTAAAGGGCTGGAGAACAAAGGAATCAGGTGACCTCCTGGCCTGGGAAAGGAACAAAGCCCAGAGGAGGAGGGGCGGGAGGGAGTTTCAGTTTGGGGCTGGCTGGGACATGGAGTGAAGTGCAGACGTGGCTGTCTGGCTCACTGCCCCCCAAAATGGACCCAGCTGAGGGGTCCTGTTCTCTGCACCCACAAGCTCTGTTTTAGACCATGTTCCTGTCATCTAATAAACCTCTGTGTTACTGGCTGGCTGAGAGTCACGTCTGACTGCGGAATTGGGGTGCAGGACCCTCTGGCTTCCCCAGGACCCCGCCTGAGCGGACTCGCTGTGGGGAAGCGCACGGAGGGGCAGAGGAGGCTGAATGCTCCGAGGTCAGACCCAGGAAGGTGGAAGCCGGGTGAGCTCTGTGTCCTGAAGACAGGCTGCTCACAGAAAGGCGACTGCCCCAGGGTCCTGCCTGGCTTCATGGGGAGCAGTTCCAGAGCATCGCCCGGGGACTCCGTGACACCCCCCCACCTACCACCAGCTGCTTCTGGAACCCCTGCTCCTCGTCCTTGAAGGAGCGCTGCATGAAGAGCCGCAGGGCGTCCGCCTTGCACCTCCCGTGCACCGCCGAGAGCTCGCCCAGCTCTGCCGGCAGCCGCAGCCCCCCCATCCCGGCCGCGTAGTGAGCCAGCACCTCCCTGAGGGCCGCCTCGTTCTCGATGGCGGCCCGGGAGGTCACCGTGTTGTTCCCCTGCTTGTACCCATCCTGCTCCCCGTCGGCGCCATTCCCCACCAGGCACATGGGCTCCTCCATGGCCACGGGCTGAAGAGAGGGAGCAGCGGAGAGCCCAGAAGGAAGAGTGGGGTGTGTATGTGAACAGCTGGTGTCCAAAGCGCTCTGCCCCAGAGGCGGACACGAAGGGAGCATTTATCCCACAGCAACAAATGGCTCCAACCTCAAGTGCTACACCCGGGCTGACCCACAGCTGGAATGATCAGGAAAATGGGTCATTGTGTGGTCATTAGGTTTCAGAGTTAACAGACTGAACCCGGTTTGTAACAGGACAAATGGCCTCATCACCTGGACACTAACTGGCCCCCCACCAGCAGCCCCAGCAGAGCGGCTGACGACTGGGCTGGCCACGGGAACCTGGCCGGGGCCACGCTGACAGCGGGGGGGCTGTGAGGGTGGGGTAGACACATTCTGATGCTGCACCTGATCCCTGGTTCTCAGCAGGGCTTCCTGGGCTGCAGAATGAGGGGACGCACAGACAGACAGAGCCAGGCTCCAGCCCTCTCCTACCTTTATCCCCTTCCCTGGCACGTGCCAGTTTCTGTCCACCACATGCCACTGGTCGTCCAGAAAGCGCTGGTAGCCCCCGGGCACCAGGTAGACCCCCTGTCCGATCTGGTCGTCCAGCTCGTCCGACAGCTCCAGCAGGGTGGCCGTGCAGCGATCCAACGACGCCAGCTCATTGCGCCGGCAGATCTCCTGCTTCTGCTCCTCCAGACGGCGCTGCCAGGTGGGCACAGACAGGGCAGGGGTGAGCGAGGACAGGGCCCAAATGGGGCAGGGATGTGAGCCAATCTGCATGCAGCCAGGGCTGGAGATGAGGCCGGGTCCCCTTGGTCTTGCATCTTGGGTCTCCAGCTAAGCAGGGGCCGGGGTCGGGAGATACCCGGGGAACGGGATCGGGGGAGCCCCATCCCCGCCCATCCTGCAGCGGGGCAGCTGTCCCATAACCCCTGGGGCCGGCGCAAGGGGCCGTACCATGAGCTCCCCTTGGAAGCTGCGGTCGTCGTCCTTGAAGGCGCGCGCCATGAACGCCCGCAGCGCCTCCCGCTCGCACTGGGCGTGCAGCTCCAGCAGCTCCTGCACGCTCTCCGTGGGCAGCGCCGCCCGCCGGGCCAGCTGCTCCTCGTAGACAGCCACGGCCTCCCCCACCGCCACCGAGTTCTCCATCTGGGCCAGGGCCAGCACCGCGCTCTCCATGCAGGGCACCGCCCCGCTGCGGATGGCGTCGACGTAGGTCACCGCCAGGGTCCCCAGCACTGCCGGAGGGGGGCAGGGTCAGAGCCAGGGGGCCCAGCGCGGCCGGAGGGGCAGGGTCAGAGCCAGGGGGCCCAGCGCGGCCGGAGGGGGGCAGGGTCAGAGCCAGGGTCCCCAGCACGGCCGGAGGGGCAGGGTCGAGCCAGGGGCCCAGCACTCCGGAGGGGGGCAGGGTCAGAGCCAGGGTCCCCAGCACGGCCGGAGGGGGGCAGGGTCAGAGCCAGGGTCCCCAGCGCGGCCGGAGGGGCAGGGTCAGAGCCAGGGGGCCCAGCGCGGCCGGAGGGGGGCAGGGTCAGCGCCAGGGGGCCCAGCGCGGCCGGAGGGGGGCAGGGTCAGAGCCAGGGGGCCCAGCACTGCCGGAGGGGGGCAGGGTCAGAGCCAGGGTCCCCAGCACGGCCGGAGGGGGCAGGGTCAGAGCCAGGGTCCCCAGCGCGGCCGGAGGGGGGCAGGGTCAGAGCCAGGGTCCCCAGCACGGCCGGAGGGGCAGGGTCAGAGCCAGGGGGCCCAGCACGGCCGGAGGGGGGCAGGGTCAGAGCCAGGGTCCCCAGCACGGCCGGAGGGGGGCAGGGTCAGAGCCAGGGGGCCCAGCGCGGCCGGAGGGGGGCAGGGTCAGAGCCAGGGGGCCCAGCCCCTCCCAGAGCCTCCCCACAACCTCCAGGACCCCAGCTGCTCCCTGCACCCCTTCACCTGCCCTCCCCCTGCAGGACAGACACGGAGCATGGGACATGCCCCCCTCCCAAGCCCAGATGCTCACCAGTCCCTCTGAGCAATTAGTGCCTCATCTCTCGTTGGGACGCGCTTCGCTTCACCCCCCGCCCACCCCAGCCGCAGGGCCCTGCTCTGCCTTTCTCTGCAGCCCAAACGGCCCTTTGGGACCCAGGTGTCCCTCCCCGGGGAGACGCGCCCACCCTCCTATCTAGGCCTCTCCCCATCTCCTCTGGGATCCACTAACCAGATCTCCTCTGTTGGGCTCCCCCCTACCCGGCTTGTTCTCTCGCTGCGGGTCGTTTCCGCGGCTTTGTTCCACCTCTTGACAATTTTCTAGCGACCCTCCTAACCGCACACCCCAGAGCTAGGCGCAGGCTCCAGCGTTGGCCCCACCAGTGCTGGCCATAGGGGACCCCCTCCCGGCTCGGTTCATCCCGCCCACGAGCCCCATTGGCCCCAGCATCGCATGGGGAGCTGGTGACCCCGTGATGAAGTGGCTTTTTCCTCATTATGTTGTACGTGAGCCTATGTGAGCCTGACTGTTTTCCATGAATGTTGTGTGTGCCTCAGTTTCCCTCTGTATTGCACCAATGTCTCGGTGGTAGGAATAAGGTTGTGTGAGTTTTGCTGAGACCCTCGGGGCAGGTGAGCTGGCTCCAGCTGGCTGCACGTGGGTGATGGCCCGTGCCCTTCATAACCTGAGACCCAAGAGGGGGATGCAACCAGGTGACACTGTGCCGGGGGGGGGGGGAGGAGCACAGGCCCTTTGGCTGTGGGGACTTGCTGTGGGGAGAACAGGGGGCTGAACGCTCCGAGGTCAGACCCAGGAAGGCCGAAGCCGTGTAGTCTTCTTGCCCGGGTGACAGAGGCTCAAGCAGAGTCCTGGCTGGCTTCGTTCGGAGCAGTTCCAGGGCATCGGCCCCCTGACTCTGGGACAGCCCCGGCCCAAGGGCTACCGACACTCAGTGGCCCCGGTCACCACGTGGCCGCCTGGGATGGTCTTGGGCTTCGACGTCTCCCAGACGTGGCGGCAGAACCGGGCCACCTGCTCCCGGAACTCGGGCTCCAGCTCGTCCTCCTGCAGCTCCTCCAGCCGGGGCAGGTCCCTCCTGCCGGCCGGCTGGACGAAGACGAAGCATTTCCGGGCCGGGAAGAACTGGCGGATGCACTCGCGGGGCAGGTTGTGGAGCTGGGCTCGCCGGCTGCTGCCTGGGGAGGAGACGGGAGCTGGGCAGCAGCCCCTGCGCTGCCATGTGGCTGCTTCTGGGGGGCAGCGCGGCGGCTGCTGGACAGATGCCCCCACTGCGGGAAAGAGACCCCACTATCCACAGGGATTGAGGGGAGCCGGGGAACTGTCCAAGCTGCAACGTGGCCAGGACAGCGAACGCCCCAACTCCCAGGGACCGGTAACACCCACAAGGTGTCACCAGCCTGGGTTTGTGTCTCGAACAAAAGTCACCCCCTCTGCAAGCACGGCGCCCCCCAGTGCCACCCTGGGGCCAGCCCCGACTGCCGGGGAGAGCCCTGCCCCGCCCCCTGCAGCACGGCGCCCCCCAGTGCCATCCTGGGGCCAGCCCCGACTGCCGGGGAGAGCCCTGCCCCGCCCCCTGCAGCACGGCGCCCCCCAGTGCCACCCTGGGGCCAGCCCCGACTGCCGGGGAGAGCCCTGCCCCGCCCCCTACAGCACGGCGCCCCCCAGTGCCACCCTGGGGCCAGCCCCGACTGCCGGGGAGAGCCCTGCCCCGCCCCCTGCAGCACGGCGCCCCCTAGTGCCACCCTGGGGCCAGCCCCGACTGCCGGGGAGAGCCCTGCCCCGCCCCCTGCAGCACGGCGCCCCCTAGTGCCACCCTGGGGCCAGCCCCGACTGCCGGGGAGAGCCCTGCCCCGCCCCCTGCAGCACGGCGCCCCCTAGTGCCACCCTGGGGCCAGCCCCGACTGCTGGGGAGAGCCCTGCCCCGCCCCCTGCAGCACGGCGCCCCCTAGTGCCATCCTGGGGCCAGCCCCGACTGCCGGGGAGAGCCCTGCCCCGCCCCCTGCAGCACGGCGCCCCCCAGTGCCACCCTGGGGCCAGCCCCGACTGCTGGGGAGAGCCCTGCCCCGCCCCCTGCAGCACGGCGCCCCCTAGTGCCACCCTGGGGCCAGCCCCGACTGCGGGGAGAGCCCTGCCCCGCCCCCTGCAGCACGGCGCCCCCTAGTGCCACCCTGGGGCCAGCACCGCTCCTCTACCTGTCTTTAGTTTCAGGCCGTTCTCCAGGTACTCGTCCTCGGTGATCTCCTGCCTGTCCAGCTCCAGCTGCAGCACGAAATCCCGCACGGCCCACACGAAGGCCGGGAAGAACCGCACGAACTCAGCCGAATCCTCCCCCTCCTGCCAGCTGCCCTCGCCTGCCACCTTCACCTTGATGCGCTCCGTCAGCTCCGTCACGTAGCTGGGAGCCGGTTAAGGAACTTGATACATGGTGCCCCCCGCAGGGGGGTCCTGATCCCTCAGGGCCCCCCAACCCACCTGCAATGGGGGCTCAGAAGGGACCGGGGGAAGGGGAGGATATTCCATCACAACACCAGGAAGCAGGGATCGAACCCACCACCTCCAGGGTCCAGAGCAGCCCCCAGCAGCAATGCAGGCAAAGCAGTGATTCTGCCAGCTGGTGGCAGTAGTGGGTTGTTACCCACCATGCAGAGAGGCCGCTAGAGAGGGCCGTGGTGTCACGATTTCGCTGGGGGTGATGAATTTGGATGGAACTACGGGGTCCTTCTCTGGGGACATGGGGCCCCCCAAACTCCCAGCCCCGGCCCCCAAGCAAGGATACTGCAGCTGGTCCATGGCCTGCTGGCTGATGGTGCCCAGGCTGTTATAGACCAGGGTGCTGCTGAGCAGCACGGCCAGCGTGAAGATCCACGTGTCGTTCTTCGTGTCGCCCTGGAACGACACCCACCGTCACCGGCCCGAGCGCATCCCAGCCACAGAGCTCACAGCCCATCGCAGAGCATGGCGGGATCCCCGGCCCCATGCACAGATGGGGAAACTGAGGCATGGGGGAGGGATGGCTAGTAGAACTGCTCCCAGCTCTCTGGGGTCCCAGTCCAGACCACAATGAATTCCCATTCTTGGAGCCAGGAGAGTCACTATTTGGGGTTGGCATATTCCCCTCCCCCACCCCGTTAAATCCGCAGCTCCCGGAGGCACGGGATGGGGCAGGAGCTCCTCTTCTTTTACTGAAGTATGTTTCTAACCCACGTGGCTCCATTTAAACTTTGGGAAGGCGACAAGCCCCCCCCCCCCCCCCGCCGTTGGGTCCAGCTGCTCTCATGCATTTTTTGGGTCCCGACTTTTTTTTGCCCCCTGGTGGCTGGGGATGCCAGCTCTTCCCTCCACCTACAGCAGAGCGATGCCGACATATGGCCAAGGCTGCGGGATCCTTCTCAAAGGATCCATCTTAACAGCCGGGTCTGAGCCCCTCTCCAGAGTGAATGTATTTATCGTCACGCTCCCTCTGGCGGGCGGGGTGGGGAAACCGAGTCCAAGGTCACACCGGGGGTCTGTGGAGCAGGGATTTGAAGCTGGCTCCCCCAAACCCCAGGCCTGCCCTTCCCGACTAGAATGGGTCATGAAATTGTCACTGGAGACCGCTGAATTGTTGACACCAAAATTACTGGCGAAACAGGGTCGGTTAAGGTTTCCCGATTTGAAAAATTATTGGGGGAAAAGTTTCAGAATTGTGGAAACGGCCCGACTGGCTGTTTGTCTAACTGGAAACTGGATGTTTCTCAAGGCAAAGTGTCGTCTTGTTGCCAACATTTTGGTAAATTTAGACCCAGTTAAGAAAGAAAGAAAAAAAAGATGGAAAATCAAAATGTTTGAAAATGATCCAAGTTTTTGCGTGACCTGGACCCAGGACACGTTTCCGATTTTCAAGCCCTGACACTTTCCCCCCATTTTGACTTTTCATCACGATTCGGGACAGGAAACATTTTCGCTACCTCAACAGTTCTCCCCGGCCACGACAGGTGTTTCCAGCCACGCCCTTGGGCCTCCCTTCCCAGCCCCGCCACGGCATCCCCAGCCCTCCCGGGATTGGCACTGCCCCCCTCAGAGGGCGTCACCCCACATCAGACAGAGCCTCCTTCCCCTCCATGGGGCTCGCTGAGTCTGTCCCTTAGCAGCGGGAGCTCCTTAAATACCCCATCCCCTTTCCCAGCATGCCTTGCCCTGAACTACAATGCCCAGCATCCCCTGGGAACTACAAGTCCCAGAAGCCCCTGGAAACTACAAGGGCCGTTCCATCCTGCTCTGCAAATTGGCTGATTCTCATACACTGCCCCCCGCCCCCACTCACCTTCTCCACGTCGCCCAGCCCCTCGGTGTCCAGCAGCACCAGGGCGTGGCCGGCCCGGCGGGGGTGGGGCAGGCACCACATTCAGATGCCCTTGGTGTGCGACTGGATGGTGGAGCCCAGCGAGAACCCTGGGGAGAGAGGGGTGGAGCTGGGACAGTCGCAGAGCGAGGGAACCCAGGAGTCCTGCCCCCCCGACCCCTAGAACCCACTGCCCTCCCAGAGCCAGGGAGGGAACCCAGGAGTCCTGTCTCCCAGCCCCCCCACTCTGACCCACTAGACCCCTTTCCCCTGCCAGCGCCAGGGACAGAACCCAGGAGTCCTGCCGCCCAGGGGCAGGGCTCACGTCTCCCACCTGTTCTCTTGCCAGCCAGTTTGTTCATGAGGTAGGACTTGCCGGTGCGGTACAGCCCGGCGATGGCCACCACCACCACGGGCTGGGAGATCTCTGCCAGCACCCGCAGCGCCTCCTGCTGCACCCGCAGCTCCCCCGCCGGGCTGTTCTCGATCAGGCAGATGGGGGCCAGCATGGGGATCTCCATCGCGCCGGGGGGGGCGGCCTGCGGGACACAGAGCAGGGAAGGTCAGCGTGAGGGGATGAGACATGGGGCAGAGGACAATGAGACACAGAGTCAGGCCCCCCAAACTGTGGGAGACCCTTCCACCCACCCCGGGTGCAGCGTACGGACCCCAGCATGGCCCACAGGCAGCTCACCCTGGGGCAGACAAGCCCTGGCGCTCCTGGGCATCGCTGCAGACCCCCAGCCGGTGCCCCTTGAATCACACGTGGCGGGGCTGCTGCTGGACAGGTAGGACGGTCCAGTGGTTACAGCAAGACTCCCCGCCACTTGGGCCAGGTTTTGAAAGGTGTTTTGGCATTGCTGAACTCAGCATTTCAAAGCCTGACCATCCCCGGTCTCAACTGCTCTGTGCCTCAGTTTCCCCGTCCGTACAATGGGGATAACAGCACCGCCCTGCTCCCCTAGGTGGAGTGAGGGACAATACATGAGGCTGCGGTGATGGGGCCCCTAGAAGGACCATAGAAGGGGAGCCAGAGGCCACGGGGATGGAGCCATGGGGGCATGTGGAGGTCTCTTGCCTCAGTTGGACCCCATCTCCAAGCTCTCTCCAGCTGCCTGGCAGCCGCGGGCTGAGCGAAGGGTTGAGTTTTTTCCCATTCAGTGGCCAGAAAATCCAGGGGAAAGAATTGTTTCGACTCCATCCAAGAGGGGAATGTGGCTGGTGGTCTTGCCAAAGCAAAACCCCGCAGAATAAATCCGTTTGGGGGCGGAACGAAATGTTTAACCTTTTCCATTTTTTGTTTTTAGAAGAATCTCACCCGTTTGCGAACTTCGGCTCCAAATGAATCACTTGACCCCCAACTGCTCCCCTCTCTTTTCCATGGCATTTCTAGGCAGTTTTTTTACCCTTTCTGGCCCTTTGGTTTTAACACAACCCAGCTCCCTTTGGACACAACCCGGCCTTTCGAAACAAAACACTGCTTCCGGTTTCCCCTTCGGTTTTTTTCCAGCCGGTGACCCCGTGACACTGCACCCCGCAGTCTTCACAGTGCTATTAGGATGATAGGATTATGGCCTAATTCTGATGCATTTTCCACAAGTCCTGTGAGGTGTCGCTGGACAAGTGACGGTTTGCTGACTAGGACGGTCCTATGTGTGTGCATGTAACATTTTGGTATCTGAAGTTATAAATATTGACTATGTGTCTGTCCATCAAATGTAGTTACCCCTGGGGAATGCCCACTAGGCAAGACAGCTGGTGGGGAAGGGCCTATTCAGGGCAATGGGCCATTAGGAAAAAACAACAGGCCTTAGGAGACATTTATCTCCCACCTGGGGAGCCTTCCTGAGAACACCACAGACAGCCTGGGAGGGACGGCTGCTATGACTCTCCAAGGCCATGCGACCAGGCCACATGATGCTGGGCTCCATCTTGGGATGTCAGGGTTTTCCCACAACCCGGTCTGGGAACCATGTTTTGGAACAAAGGGCTCCCGCCCGATGTAAAAGCTACATAAGGCAGGGAATGACGCCATCTGGGGTTCTTCACTCCCCACCCAAAGAGACTCCTGGAAACACCTGAGGAACAAAGACTGAACGGGAGGAAGTGCTGGGCCCAGGCAGAAGGGATTTCTAGCCTGTGTATGAAACACCTGGGTGCAGCTTTCACCTTACAAATCTGCAGCCTGCTTGTATCATCCATCAGGGTGAGAATCTGCGAGTTCATATCCCATCTTTCTTAAACTTACTTTGCGTTTTTTGTTTATTTGCCAGGTAATCTGCTTTGAGCCGTTTGCTATCCCTTATAATCACTTAAAATTGATATTTTGTAGTTAATAAACTCATTTTATGTTTTAATCGAAACCCGTGAGCTTTGCCTGGAGTGCTTGGGGAAAATCTCGGCTTGGCTGGCAGAAGTGTGCATTGCTCTCTTCACACTGAGGGAGAGGCGGACGGGGTGTTAAACCCATATACTGCCCAGCTTTGACCAGGGCAGGAGGGCACTGCTCTGGGGCCCCAGGCTGGGAGGCTGGTGGTGAGAGCCCCGGCGTGTAACTGCAGCTGGGTGTGCCCCCCCCCGTGTGAATGCCGGGAAAGTGCAGCTGGAGGACTTTGCAGCTTGTCACAGCCGTACAGGGTGAGAGGGAGCCCAGGCTGGTGGGTCAGGGGGCTCAGTGGTACCCCAGTTCCAGGTGGCTCCCTGGGGGGAACCCATCACAACCCCAACCTGCATTTCCAGCCAGAACCACCCCCCAGCTCGAGCCAGGGCTCTGCTCGTGTGGCCCGGCAGCACCCCAGCACTGCTGGACCGGCACAGCCCAGCCTGGGCACCCGCGGGCATTGAGCAGAGCCGCCCAAAGAGGGGCAGAGCCAGGGAGATGGCGCAGCACCGGGGGCTTTGGGAAGGAAGCGGGTTTCACTGCAGACGCAGCCCCCAGCAGCAGAGGAAGGGGCACTGGGGTCTGCGGGCCCATTCACAGCCATTGTGACGGAGTTAGGGCTATGGGGCTAGGAATACAGAGTTAGGGGTAAAGGGTAGGGGTTATGGGGTTAGGGCTATGGGGTAGAGTTATGGGGTGGGGGTAGAATTATGGAGTGGGGGTAAGGGGTAGCGTTATGGGGTTAGGGCTATGGGGTGGGGACAGAGTTATGGGGTAAGGGCTATGGGGCAAGGGATAGAGTTATGGGGTAAGGGCTATGGGGCAAGGGCAGAGTTTGGGGTTAGGGCTATGGGGTAAGGGCATTGGGGGCAGGGGTAGAGTTATGGGGTAAGGGCTATGGGGTAAGGGCTAAAGTTATGGGGTAAGGGCTAAGGGCTATGGGACCAGGGGTAGAGTTATGGGGTAAGGGCTATGGGGTAAGGGATAGAGTTATGGGGCAAGGGCTATGGGGCAAAGGGTAGAGTTTGGGGTTAGGGCTATGGGGTAAGGGCTATGGGGCCAGGGGTAGAGTTATGGGGTTAGGGCTATGGGGCCAGGGGTAGAGTTATGGGGTAAGGGCTATGGGGTAAGGGATAGAGTTATGGGGTAAGGGCTATGGGGCAAAGGGTAGAGTTTGGGGTTAGGGCTATGGGGTAAGGGCTATGGGGCCAGGGGTAGAGTTATGGGGTAAGGGCTAAGGGCTATGGGGCCAGGGGTAGAGTTATGGGGTTAGGGCTATGGGGCGAGGGGTACGGCGAAGGAGGCTAGGTGAGCGTCAGGGGTTAGGGTTGAGGTCTTAGGGCCAGGGTCAGACCCTGCTCTCCATCCCCTCCGGCAGTGCCGACCCCACCCGCCGGCTCGCCCAGCCCAGATCGACCCTGGGCCCCAGCCCCACGTTAGCAGCAGCTCCCTTTGCTCTCGGCTCCACACCCAGGCGATGGCCCCTGCCCGGGGACGACAGCCCCGTGCTTGGAGCCGAGTCGATCCGAGCCCCGGGGGGGCAGGGGGGCAGCCGGGGCCCTAGCTGCTCTGGGGCGAGGGCGGCCAGCCGCGCTCCATGTCCGCTCGGTCTCCCTCCCGCGCCGTCCGTCCCTCCGTGCGGCTCAGAGCTGAGCTTTCCCCGCAGCTGGTCCAGGGAAAAGGGGACGAGTCAGATGGAAACTGAAAGCGGAGGCTGGCGCCGGTTTAACTGCTTCGGACTCAGGGCTAGGCACCCCCACAGGGACCCACGGGATCAAGCCTGACCCCCTGCACGGCGCAGGCCGCAGCCCCTCACCCAGCCCCCCGTAACAGGCCCCGACCTCGGGCCGAGACACTGACGGCCCCAAATCACGGGTTACGGACTCCACGTGACAGAGGACCCACCGTTTACACTAGTTCAAGCCTGCGAATGCCCCGTACCCCAGGCTGCAGAGGAAAGCAACCCCCCGGCTCCTCACTGGGTTTCCCGGAATCAGCCCCGGGCCAGGAAAGGCTCCGGCCGCTTTCGGTTTCCATCTGACTGAGGCGTTCAGGGGATTTAGAACTGCCAGCCCCAGCTCGTCCCCCGGCCCCGGTACGTAGGTCGGCACCATGGACAGTTGTCTGACAGAGTCGGTGTACGGGGACAGACAGACGGACAGACGGAGAGGCGGTGTACGGGGACGGACAGACAGAGAGGCGGTGTACGGGGACAGACAGACGGACAGACAGAGAGAGGCGGTGTACGGGGACGGACAGACAGAGAGAGGCGGTGTACGGGGACGGACAGACAGAGAGACAGAGAGAGGCGGTGTACGGGGAGACAGACAGACAGACAGGCGGTGTACGGGGACGGACAGACAGAGAGAGGCGGTGTACGGGGAGACAGACAGACAGACGCGGTGTCTGGGGATAGATGCCGCCTCCCTCTCACCCCGGGGAACCCAGGCCCTGCGAGGGGACGCGACTCGCTGAAGGTTGCGTATGAACTCAGTGGCACAACAGGGACAGAACCCAGGCGTCCTGGCTCCCAGCCCCACCCTGCTCAGCACCACTAGACCCCATTCCCATCCCAGAGCCAGGGCTAGAACCCAGGAGTCCTGGCTCCCAGTCCCCCTACTCTAACCCACTAGACCCCCCCCTGCCCCCCAGAGCCAGGGAGAGAACCCAGGACTCCTGGCGCCCACACTTCTGCTTTAACCACATCCTACCTTAGGAAACGTAGGTGGCAAGAGATAAAACTTTCCCTCCCCCTTGTTCTTTATTCCTTCCGACCCCCCCGAGATCTTTATTCCAGACACTTCTCTGCACTTCCCGCTTCCTTCCCTTTCCACCCCACCAGCTCCGTGAGCTACCGACCGGCCCGGCTGGGAGACCAGCCCTTGGCCTTCAGCGCAGAGCGGCTGCTGATCAAATACCGGAGCGTGACTAGACCGGTCACAGAGCAAGAGAGTCCCCTGCCCTAGGAGGGAAGCAAGGTCTAGTGGTCAGAGCGGGTGGGGAGGGCTGGGAGCCAGGACTCCTGGGTTTTATCCCCAGCTCTGGGAGGGGAGTGGGGCCTAGTGGTTAAAGGGGCTGAAAGCCAGGACTCCGGATAGCTGCTCCAAGGCAAATGAGCATGCCACAGGTGCCAGGCCCAGCTCAGGTCTGCTGCTGGCACACACAGGGTCCCTCGAGCAGCCTCCCTGAGGTCCCCACAGTGGCAATGCCCTCGTCGCCTGGTTG